AGTACAGATTTGTGGGTCGTCAGTACGGATTGCACATCCGTAGACTGTATAGGGACCAGCCACAAAAAGCACCAGTACGATAAAGCGTAATGATTTCAACTGCGTTTTTTAATTTCTGTCTTTAAAGTGCATTTTATAACAGTTATATATTTTTAAACTGATAATAGTTGGCTACTACGTAATTACATCGCAGTGAGTCAGCAACATACACTGACGATGGGATCCATATTAATCGTGAAGATGCAAAAATACCGTGGAGCGGTTATCTCGGAACTGAAGTTATCCACGTGTGTGATCATTATTTTATCAAAAAATAAATTGCATACATTCATCACTGTAATCACTTAAAAACAAAAATTTTTTTAGTTTGCAGGTCTTAGGGTCTGGAAACAAAAATTTGGTCTTGCAACATACGTTGGATATCCTTTTAGAGACTATCCAATGGACGGTATCATGGGTTTAGCATGGCCAAGTATTGGAATGCAAAATGTTACTTCGATTATACAAAATATCTTACCAGATTTGGGCAGTTCAATTTTTACTGTTTGGATGGACCGGTGACTAATACTGGAAATTTATAATAGCCTCAAATCTTTCAAGACAGTGTAGTTCAAGAAACGCCTTTAGTTATCATGAACCATCGGAAGGCGAAAATAGTGGCTTGATTACATTTGGTGGTTTGGATTATTTGCACTGCAGTGATGAAACTGTTTACGTTCCTCTTTCTTCTTTAGGATACTGGCAATTCACAATTGATGGGTAAATTGACAGCTGTTGACCGTTTCTAGAAAACATGCTGGATAATGCGTCATACTGCAACAAAGTAGGAAATTTAGCTTCATGATTGGAACTTATGCGATTATTGCAAGACAAGAAGCTATCTCTGACACGAGTAGATCATGGATCTACGGCCCGAGCGCAGCTATTACAACAATTGCTGAAAAGGCTGGAGGCTGGTATAACTCGAAATATGAACTGTACGTTATCCGGTGCACCGAAATTTACAATGATTTACCTTTTTCCTTCATCATCGATGGCCGTCTGTACTCAATTCCATCCCGTGAATACATACTAGATGTATGTTCTGCATCTTTTATTAATGTTTTATAAAACTGGTTTTTTAGACCACTGCATGACAGTCTTTGCAATACATTCTTAAACTGCTTTCTTCACTTTTCTTTATTTTTTCAGTTAGGGTATGGAAAAGGTGTCTGCGTTTTGGCTTTCGTTGAGGTAAGTTCCAATGGTTTTGGTCCATCGTGGGCACTTGGTGCTACTTTTATCAGGACCTATTGCAATATCTACGATATTGGTACTAGACGAATTGGGTTCCAGAGAGCTATTCATTCCGCTCCTCATGATTACTCCTGTTCATTCTACCCCTGTTCATTCGGATTATTCAAACAACAAAGGGGTTTCTTCACATTTTTGCTTATTGCTTTTACAGTTTACTCTTTTCACACATGGTTTAATAAACTTTGGAACCAATAATTAAGAGTGATATGAATTAATTGTGTAAAACATACTGGATAATTCGGGCAGTTTTGTGATGTTATCCGCAGAAAGAATATGTTTTGTGGTGAGAATAAAAAAATAATTATTTTTATTTCGTTGCAAAATACACAATGTAAAGAGAAAGTGTTTTAGAATACAAAATTGAGTATAAACAGCAGGTACAAAATTTTCGAACAACGCTACGTTAAAAGTGAATTAAATTTCTTCCACGTCAGAAAAAAGGTGAATGGCCAACAGCAAATTTACGGAAGAAAGGAACTGAAATGCATTGTTTTCTCTGCGTCTCTTAACGTGAGGAATTTTTGTAAAATTAATATGAGAAAATTTGATTTTTAGAAAACTTTTTTTGAATATTCTCAGATCGTCGGCTTTTATGAATTTATAAAAAGCTTTTCACATTATTATTGAATGAAGCAGCAGAAAATGGTCATGTTTTTTCTTTTACATTGCTTTTTTTTTCGCTTTCACTTGTGCTCCACTTTCCTCGCTGTCCTTTTAAAGCTCTGTTTATTCCTGGTACCGCTTTCTGCTTCTTCTAAATCCTGCAACAGAATATAGAAAAAAAATAAAAAAAAAA